TGCTAAAGCATTGTACTACTCTAAAGAGGATGATCTGGTCATGACCAATCGTGCGGTTTCAATGTGTAGTAACAATATTTTTAAGAAATCCGGCTCCGATATCTTTAAAATTTTCTCTGCCACGAGCAATTCGGCATAGCATCATTAATTCGGTCTTCATTGATTTCCCTGGAAATGAGCTCAATATAGCTCAACTGCTTCGAAAGTCAGGAACAGTCTCTCTTTTTACATCGCGGCTACTTTTTCGAATAATTCTCATGGTTATCGCAAACCGAAATGTCCCAGAAACGATTTCCTATAGCATGTGAGCCACCAAGGGTGTTGGGAGTTGGTATGATATTGACGTAGAAATCGGGAGATAGCACAGCACGCACTGCTGATAAGCAGACGTTATCTGTGAGTGGCTATGGTCGCTCTACCTGCTGAACCGGGGTGGAGGGCCACTCATTTGCCGGATGATGAAGGGAAGTTTCTCCCAGTTCCGAAATTCAGTGGCATTGAAGCGCGTCGAGTGACAGTACAGTGTCATCTCTATCATCCCCATGTCTGAACTAATCCACTTACGTATAGCTTTCTACAACCGGAAGTAAGCTCCTCCAGTGATGCTTGCCTAGATGAAACGTCCTGAATTTTGGGGACCAATCCCTTCACCTCCAATGGTGCCCAACTGGTACCGCCCCTTCAAACGTGGAAGAAATAACTTTGAAGGCGAGCTCCTATCTGTGCCTTATGACGGCTGAGGCACAAGCAAACATCGACTTGGACCGCTCGCTGATGAGAATTTCTTCGTGGGGATCTGCTTCGATTGAGAACTTTTTTGATGAAGGCTTCCTTTGACGAGTATATTTTTTCATTATCAGAAATTGAGCCAGGTCAATCTTTGCTTGCGTCGCTGCTGTCAGAAGGCACCCAATTCAGGGCTCCTCTTCCGAGTCACTTTTTCCGCGCATGTAGTGACGATACCAGTAAAACGCCATTGCACGAGAAGGGGCCTGGTCTTCAAACCATTTTTAATCGTTTCGTCTCGCGAACGTCACCGGAGGAGGTTTTTTTCCAGTTGTAAAAAAAAATGATGATGGAGCAATTTAACCATGGAGAAAATCGCTTTCACGAGATTCCAGGACGTTTTGCCACTCATGACGCTTCAATGTCAGTAAATGTCAACTGAACAGGACGAAACTTGCGCATGTAATCGAGAAGTACCTTCAACAAATTACAAGAGGACATGCTGCATTCAACTTCGATCAAAAGTAAAAAGTTAAAAAAAAATTGGGAGTGGCGCCCGTACATACGTGTGGAGAGGAAAAGAGGTTCATGCTTTCTGCAACAAGTTGCGCGATTTCTCATTACGTATTGAGCTGCAGATGTCAGTGCGATCGGATTTTGATCGGAGAACTCAGCCCAGGTTTCTCGTTTGATTATCACCATCTATACATGTTCTAATTCTAATTTTGTTCGCATATGACCCATATCTATCTTGAAATTTTTTTAGAGTTTACTTTTGACCTCATCCGGATAACTCTACATGTTAATTTTAAACCTAAAAGTAACTTATTTCTTTCTTCTTTGTATCATTGGAAAGCCCTTATTTCCTCAACTAATAATAGTTTTTATACTTAAAAAATGCTGAAATTTGATCCCTTTACGGTCAAACAACCATCGAAGGCCAACGGTTTTCGATAAGTATGTTGAGATGCGAATGGGGCTGCAGTATCATGCTAAGTATAATGCTGACACTGTTATATGCTTGGAATGTATGTTGACTCAGCGTGGAGATGAGCAAAGAAGACTTGTCATTCCTGTTGAGTTTTTGAACACAATCACTGCATCCAAAAGGCTTCTTCACAAGTTAAACCTTGAAGTCACCCCTAAAGTCGCCGTAAGGCATCGTGTAGAGAACTGGTGGTCCGAAGGATCACAAACGTCAAATATTTTCACCTTCGAGGGGACAATGGTCTACAGGAAGCGTGGTGGCTTGAGAAGATAATGCAGAAACACGTTTTTATTCCAATCGAAGCCGAAATTTAGAGCTCGAAACTTCATTCATGTCCTTTTCTTTTCTGCTTTCTTCCGTAACGTTTTTTCCACTTCTGGGGCGGTTCATTCATTTCTTCTCCAATAGTTGCTGTTGACTTGCAGTTTGGACCTCAGTCATAACGATCAGAAACTGAATCTTCTTTTAGGCAATTCTCAGATATTCCTGTGATTGAGCTAACTCGCACGGTCGGAGCCACCGCGCAGGGAGGGGCTCACGATGGAAAGGGAATTAGGAAGTGAAGACAAATGCGGATCCTTTAAGTCGAGGAAAAATTATTTATAGAAGATACGTCTCAAAATCAGACGTCAAAATGATGGGATTCTTGCCATGTTTTTCGATATTGATCTTCGTCCTTCCGACTGATTTCTTCCGCTCGTTCTCTCAAGCGACTGCAATCATCCGCATGACTTTGTTGGACACACCGATCAGTTTTCTTGTCAGGTTTTCCTTCGTTCTCTCGAGTGAAAGGTCTGCATTACCGATTTCCATTCCCCATCGAACATGGCGATCTCCACTTGCTTTTCCCCCCCGATGAGAACTAGCCCATTGTAGAAGGAAGTATTCCTTCCTCCATTTGTACCCATCACCATTGTACACGTAGACGGTAAAAAAAAAAGAAACCGATGGGAGCGCTGAAATAGATCCCGATCACTCTCCACGCTCCTCTCGTCTCTTACTTTCAACACGACGTGAACATCGTCTATCCGTAGGAGGTCTTCATCAGTGGATACCTCGAGTACCTTGAGACTCCGTTCACTGGAGCAACTGCAAGTCCAAATTTCCTTTCAATCTTGCTGAATAAGAATTGTTAATAAGTGAGTTCCTTTTCGTATCTCCATTCTCCAATTCGAGCCATTGAGAATGGAATGGTATGGACTTTATGGCGGCACATGAGGCCATGAGCAAGCAGCGACGGAGAGAAACGCTGATACATTCCGTATTTTTCTTTTGCTTTTCTACCTTCCGAGTTTTTCCACCCTTTCCTCTGCCCCGCATGTCATACATCGAGATTTTTGTCGTTCGACGAAAATTTTTCGACCGCTTTTCCTGTCTGAAATAGGAAAGTTGGTGCGATCATTATGCTTTCGGGGAACTCGAACACGAAAAGAGACCTGTACAAGACTCACCGTGAACCCCTAAAAGACGATGTGATCGAGTCGAAGTGCCAATTAGAGCAACACTGGGTCAGAGGTTTATCATTCCCAGGATCAATCCTGTTCCGTCGAATCCAGATATTCCTTTTAGCTAGAAGCTAACACGATTTCTATTAATAGTAATAGGGTGGTGCAAAAGTCGCGCACCACATGGTAAATCAAAGTAAATGTTCGAATCGTTTGCCATTAACTTGAAAACACTTAGATTCGCAGTACACATAATGTTTTAACATATCTTAACTCCACATTCTCGTTCTTCATTAATTTTGCAGCCATCAGTCACCTGTAAAGAAAGAAACAAGAATTAGCGTTGTGTAACAGTATATTCCCATATGGTGCCCGACTTTTGTGCCATACTGTATATTTCAGTAATTTGCCTTCGCGATGACTTGCGATGAATCTCAAGGTCAGAGATTTGACAGCGTTTGGATTTATTTACTGAACCCAGTGTTTAGACATGGTCAGCTGCATGTCGTTCTCAGAGCAAAAGCCAATGACAGCGTTGAATTTTCATTTGAGACTATTTAAGACAGAAAAATTGATCTAGTTCTGCAACGATCCAGAAAAATGCTCAGTTAACCCTGCTGACAATTGATCTTATTTTGACTTTCTTAGGTAAGTCAGACCAGAATCCCCCCCAGCCCCCCCCCCCCCCGACTCAGTCAACAGACCAAATATTTGGTATGGGCAAGGCATGGATGACTTTCCAAGGCCGCACAAACATGATTATTCATTAGAAAAACACCTTTACTCTCAAACAAGTAGTCAGAGTCAAAGCGGTCACCATTTGAAAACCCTGTGTGCACGGGCTTTCAACTGATATCATATATCCAACAAGTCAAAGCAAACGACATCGTGTGAGGCGATGGCTCAAACGAGTCATTTGCCACCACATCAAGACAATAAACATAATAAATATCGATAATAAACATGTCAGTCAGAAATGAAACCAACGCTATGGGTATCATTTACTCGTGCGCGTTGTTATAGTTTTGAAGGGGAATCATTTTCATCAGTTCGTATCATTCTTTTGAAATTTTCTACCTCCCTAGTAAATCGAAGTATTGTCTCGATTTTATTTTCAATTTTCGCAGAGTAATTTAATGTTTCCCTTATTTAATCATAGATCGACTTTAGGAAAAACCCAATTGAGCAAAGACCTGTCTTTACTCCATATACTTATGGTTACTCCTAGTTTTTTGGGGCTCAGAGCTAATACGGTTGAGACCCTCTTCAGAGGAACTCGTACGGGGACCGAGAGTGATTAGATGAATCCGCTTTCTGTAATTCGGAATCCCGCCCAGCGGGACTGAAGAATGAACTTCATCTATGTACAACTGCGTGACTACAGGATGGACTTAGCCCATCATCCCAGATGTGAGGATCTGAGCAAATAATATACAGTATTGGTGCAAGTTGTCATTAATAAAAATAAAGTTCATTTACATCAGAGATATTCCTCGACTTTTCACTACTTGGAGGCACTTCGCAACGTGCCGAGTCTCACTCGCAAATGATTTTGCTTTTGTCTGTAAACGTATGATAAATAAAGAATGGATAGTAGCGAGTCGATCACTATGTGCCGGAAATCATAAAGCACCTAGGAGTTTTATGAAAAAACAGATTTAACTGTTTAAATCTATTCAAACTATTGTTTGCCTATGACATAGCCAGAAAATAAGCATCCTACACTTACTCAGTAGCTGCACAGTTTCACCTTGAATGGAGCCGAGCAGCATCTTTACTCGAAATAATGTTCGATATCTGGGAAACAGATTGACATGACCACGAATTTCGTCATCTACTTTCTTTAGTTTCGTGCAGATAGGGAATACCAGGATGAAGTTGTTGACCACCTGGATTTCAGTAGCCTTAGTGCTCACGAACCAGGGCTTGGAAGTGCGAGCCTACTTTTCCAGTCCTATTTTCCAAAAGGATGGATTTGGGCCTTGGCATTCCTCATCTCGGGGACAGCCCATCCCGCTTCCCAGGATCTACCAGAGTTATAAATCCACTCTACTTATCGACCCGGAGAATTTTCTGTTTAACATCAGCCACGCGACGTGCGAGATCCTCGAAGATGCAGTCCAACGTTACCAGAAGTTGATATTCAAGTCGCCAAAGTTCAAACCCTGCGAGAAAACGTGGACGAACTGCGCCAAAGACAACTGCCTCAAACGGCTTGACATTTACCTTCAGTCTCCGTGCGAAGAATGGCCCCCTTCCCGCATGGACGAGCAATGTCAGTCTGTCTTGCCGGTCATTCATCCTTGAAACGTCTCTCCGAGTTGAATCGGTTCCTTCTTCCCCTCGTCCAGATCTCCTGAAGGTGAACACAGACGAGTTAAAGGGAGGAGCGCTTTTATCTGCAGCAAGCATCTGGGGGATCCTTCGTGGACTCGAGACTTTCAGTCAGATGGTTTATTACCATGACTGCCAGGTGAACGCGCAGAGAGTAAATCTAGTCGAGATGAGAAAAACGATCAAAATCTATTAGAATATTTTGGGACTCCGATCGTTCTTAAAGTCACTACCTCAAATGATGATCTCGATCATGGAGACTCGCATTTCCTAAAATGCCATTTTTCAGTTCTTCGTGAACACGACCTTCGTTCAAGATTGGCCTCGCTTCCCCTGGAGAGGTTTGCTCTTGGACACATCTCGTCATTTCTTGCCAAAGATCACCATCTTCGAAACACTGGATCTGATGGCCATGAACAAGCTCAACGTCTTCCACTGGCACATCGTCGACGACAACTCTTTTCCCTACGAATCTCTCAGATTCCCCTTCCTCAGGTACCGCCAAGTCCCACAGGCGTCTAAGTGAGCTCTCGGAACTCGAAATAAAATCACAAATATTATTGTTTGCCTTCCAGTAAGAACGGGTCATACGGGCCGGACATGGTGTATACGAGGAAGGATCTGAAGGACATCTTGGAGTACGCTAGAAGAAGGGGAATAAGGGTTGTGCCTGAATTCGACACGCCTGGTTTGTAAATACTCCTTCCATTTAGATGCAATCAAATTTTACACGGAACAGGAAAGGCAGCAGTAAATGAAGTTTCAAAATGCCACGAAACAGTCTTCTTGTCACATGGTGTCACAGCAAATAAATGCTGGAGCCTGCAGGGATAGAAGGGATGCAGCATGAGTTTCTTAGTTTTATTTCAGTCATTTTTGTGGCATATCAGGCACGAAGGGAAGGATAGAGAAAAGACTTGAAGGTATTCATTAGGCTCGTTGTGGTGATGTACCGCGGACCAAACGTCATGAAAGCCTGCAAAAAAAGGTGGAAATTGCGAAAGTAGAAACACGTCTAGTAGTCTTTCTGAAATAGGCGATCGTTCTAGAGGATGGTTTTTCTGTGCTCTCTATTCTCAGTTGATTTCCACGGATCACTAATATTGAACTTCATGCGAGTATCAAGTTTTTATTCTTTTCGAGGCACCCCCTACCTGTTTTCCATTTAAGCTGATATTTGGAACTACATGACACGCAGCATGTAAGTACATGCGTCTAGGTGCGAATGATCGCGGGTCGATAACGGCGCATTAGGTTCCTTGAGGGGGTTGGTATACTTTAGTGAATTTGCAAAATTGGGCGCATGGGTTCCCCACATTTTGACAGAAAGCAACAAAAATCAGCGTGTTGTCACTAGTGCTTCTTTGCTCGCCCGTCATCGTTTAACTCGTCAACAGCATCAATCGTTTTTCAACACGCTGATTTTCGTTGCTTTCTGTCAAAATATGGGGAACCCATGCGCCCAATTTTGGAACTTCTCCCATAGACTGTAGATGTCGTACGATTGTTGAATGGTCGCAGCCCATCACATTGGCCAATTCTCTAGTTGATTGACGCGGATCATCGTGGATCGAAGCGTTTAAACGGTCCTCGTCTAAGTCACATGTTCGTCCTGAGCGCGGGGCATCCTTTATGTCAAAATTTCCCTCCATAAAACGAGAAAACCATTTTCTTGCCGTGCTTTCGCCAATTGCGTCCTCCCCGTATACGCTACAAATGTTTCTAGCCGCCTCCGCTGCACTGACTCCCCGATTAAACTCAAACAAAAGCACATGTCGGAAATGTTCTTTTTTTTCCACTTGACAGTCCATAATTTTTAACCTGTAACTAAAAAAAAATTATGCAAATCAAAAAATTCAAAAACGATCTGAAAGAGCAAGACTAGAGCTTTAAAATGATGTATAAAAGATTATGAAAATTCTGTTTTTCTTGGACAAACTTCCATTAGAAAGAAAACGCTACGAAATTATGCACCAACCCAATACATACAAACTAAATAAATTTTGCAAATTTCGATGGTCTCCTGCACCACGGAACATCGGAGACAGAGCGACTCCTCTGTCGAGAGGGTCATTACCTCATCGAAGGGAAGAGAGGATCTCTTGCGAATCCCTCTCCTCTCATGTTGTGCTTCCGATTGTGTACCAGGCCATACCCAGTCGTGGGGAAGGAATCTGCCTGGATTCCTCACGCCTTGTGGGGAGGAATACGGATGGAGCTTCTTAGGGGATTTACCCGACTATGGACCCATCGACCCCAGCCGAGAGGAGAACTACGTCTTCCTCGAGAAGTTCTTCAAGGAAGTCTTCAATACCTTCCCTGATAAGTTTCTACACCTCGGAGGAGACGAAGTCGATTTCCGCTGCTGGTGAGTGAAAGTAATGAGTGCAAGTAAATCACCTAAAACTGAATGTGTGAAGGAAATACTTATCCCTTGTTGCATTAATGTAAAATGTAATTTTTTTTGGATTCGGGGTGGGGGGCTTCTTTAGGCCTCCTGAACGCGTTCTCACGACTCACGATTTTAAGACAGTCTGAATGACAAACATATAATTGTCGACTTAAAGCAATACCAGAAATTGCCAGTAACGAACATGGTCAATGGAGGGTATTTCGACATGAAAATCGTTGAATACAAGTTATGCAACATCTGATTAGGAAGCAAGAAAGTAAAACAAATGAAAGAGCTGGATGAAATGAAATTAAATGAATAGACCTCAAGACAAAGACTTCCGAGGAAAAAAATGGAGGAACATATAGACGCTGAGAAATATGGACCCACATGTTAGAACGCGAACCTTGTTTTTTTTTTTTGGGGGGGGGGGGGGGGAAATATTTCCGTGATTACCTCACTCCAGCTTGCATTCAGCTANGTGGGGGGGGGGGGGGGGGGAAATATTTCCGTGATTACCTCACTCCAGCTTGCATTCAGCTAATGATGAGGGCGCGTCCAGTTCCCTCTCACCCGCATATCTCAGTGACAACTTTCACCAAGAAAGAAATTCTTCATTACCACCTTTCCACGTAATGGTCGCATTTCTTTTGAATAAAAGCTGCTCGTCAACTGTAGTAATGGGTTGAGGCTAACCAAAGTTGGCTTCTCTCATCCAGAGCCTTGGTTTTAATTTACATATTTTTTTACGAAATGATAAAACACGTTTTTCAGATGTATATGTCCGTATATTTAAAACGATTTTGACGATAGGGCTATTTGGGAGGATTCTTGCCTTAAAAATTTAAACCTGGTTTTGACGAACCATCAAAGTCAAGTGCAACTTCGCCAATATTTCAGAAGTATTGATGACTCCTTTATTCAATTCAGCAAGACACCTCCAAAAAAATGCATGGGAAATGAGCATTCGGGTCCTTTCCAACTTGGTTCCAAGAAGCCATGTTTCTCCTATTGTTAGGGGAAATATGTCCATTTCTCGCAAACAAAACCCAAGGTTTTCTTAGTACGAATGAAAACTAAATTATCATATTTAGTACCTGGAAAATATAGCAAACAAGGCTAAGCAGTTGACAAGTACAATACCAACTGCATTGAGGACAAGCGAAGAAGTCGGCATCATTATAATCAATGCACGCTTCCCGAACCATGATCTCAAGTAGCAATGGGACATCCGACGTACGACTGGATTTAATCCTTGCGTCCGTATGCCTCCTCAAACGTGTGGTAGACATCCGACCGATAATAAAAGGAACCTGAGAGTGGCTTGGTTGATATTTAGATTAAAGTCGTTGAGATTTTTTTTTTGTCAAGCATTGTACAATCTTACTGTACATGGATTTTGAAAGCTGTCGCGTGAAGATCGCAGTTGGGACAGACGGAGGAGCGTCCTCAGATGTTTCCGATCCTGGGCATCAGACTCGAGACTCCTGTTGTTGCCCAGGATCGAATAAAAGACTTGCGTCCCTCGACACTCAAAGCTCGGCATCCTACTTGCTCAGCAGATGGAGTCTCAAGCCTCGAGTGACAAAAGCTACGTTTCGACTACAGCCTTTCCTGGGATTCAGGTCATTATTATCGAGATGACATGCTTCCCAGGGATTGCCTAGCTCTAATGTCAAGCCTGTCGACTCTGGGATTAGTGTCTATCTGAGAAGGGGAATCTGGCTCTTCGGACTGAGTGACATTTCCGTCAAGACAAGGCTAAAGCTTAACGACATAATTGCTCCACCTTGAATGAGATCATCTGATTGGTCTGCCGATCGTCTTGAACCTAGAGACTCGAGCAGCTCTAAAAAATACTGTAATCTGGAGAAGGCCGCATGACGACGAGTAGTTCTCGAATAGGAGGGAGTTTCCGTTAAACGAATAGTACATGGCAACGCAAGTGCGATTCATGACTCGTTCACGATTTCTATTTACCTGAAGGAGCATGAATCGAGACATCGCGGAATTCATGAAGCAGAACAACATCTCCAGTTATGAAGGGCTGGAGGCTTACTACATTCACAGGCTTATAGACCTGCTCGATGACATCTCATCCAAGAAGAAGACGTACTTAGTGTGGCAGGAAGTTTTTGACAACCAAGTTCCACTGGATCCCAACACCATTGTTCATGTTTGGAAGGGAAACTGGGAGAGTGAAATGGCTCAGGTAAGTGTTATTGCCATACAAATACAGTATACTCGGTGGCTGAAGGAAGCGAGAACATATTTCTAGAGGAGAGGCCATTTCTCCGAGTCAAATATAACCTATACCAATAAAAAAAACTCGTTCGAGGAAACCGGTACTCTTCCTCTGAGTGATGACATGACATGTTATTAGCTAAAATCGGTTGATTGTCAAACAGTTACAGCCAACGGGACGCCTGCGCACAGGACGACATGTTAGTCGCGTGAACACCGCTCGACCATGGAGACGAGGCTCTCTAACTGGAGACAGCCAACTCCAGCGGATTGGTATCAGTAGCTGGAACCTGGTCATTTGGCAGGCCTGCGACTGTTAATTTGATTAGACTTACTGCCAATGGTTTGAGTTTGCTTCTCGTTATTGGTGCAGAAAATAAAGTCGACTGATTGTAGCTGACTTTTATGTTGCAAGAATTTCAGTCGTGCTTGTGAGCATGCGTCATTTCTGAACTGAAGACACGGATTCGATTGAAGTCCTTAGAGATGTGGACTACGCTGTGCTATTGCTGAAACAATTTCTTATATCATGGGTGGATGGTGATTGGCTCGATAGGAGTCTGTCCATTAGTGAAGTAAGTCGATTTTCTCGGAATAACCGCTTTTCCGGAGTGATATATTACACAGAATTGTCATATAACATTTTCACGTGCGTAAGTTCCCTGGCCGCCAAGAATCCAATGGGTTCCCCGCGCCGCGTCTAGTCGTTTCAGCCGTATTCATCCGACTGACGTCACGTTCCATGAGCCATGCAATTTCTACAAATGGCATGGTTTTGTTCACATAGTTACCGGTTTTCTCTAAGTTTTTACTTGCGTAAGTTCGCTGGTCAAGGAAAAGTCTCCATCAAAAAGTTGTCCTTTTTGTTTCGAGTCACCCTATATATTTGTAATATGTTGCCTAGGGGCGTTCGCCCCGCCTCTACAACCTTTATCTTTTTGGGATAAAAAGTCCTCTGAATAGCTAGAAGTAATGAGATGAGGTCTCACTCTGTCACAAATGCAGGTCTTCTTGCTCTAGATGAGGCTTTTAACGTCTGCTGAAAGTACCTCTAAAAAGTCTGATGAAAACATACATTGGCTTATTCATTTTCACTGAAAATGAAGTGTATGAAGCACAAAAAAGCTAATGGGAATGAACCATCTCGTTTCATTGAAAATCAGGTGACGGCGGCTGGAAAGAAAGCATTGCTCTCGTCTTGCTGGTATCTCAACTACATCTCGTACGGAACGGATTGGGAGAATTACTACAAGTGCGACCCGGAGAACTTTCCAGGCACCCCGTCTCAGAAGTGGCTCGTCCTCGGCGGAGAGGTCTGCATGTGGGCGGAATTCGTGGACGAAACGAACCTCCATTCGCGACTGTGGCCCCGAGCATCTGCCGCTGCAGAGCGGCTTTGGTCTGCAAAAGAAGTTCAAGACGGGGAATTCCTTGCCTCCAGGATGAATGAGCATCGGTGCCGTATTCGTCGTCGCGGATACCCGGCTCAGCCCATCAACGGCCCTGACTTCTGCGACAATCTCAAAATACCCTAAAACGGCACCAGTTGGCTTTTCGGTTTCTCCTTCAGAATCATGTCGAAACTGGAGTTCTAGCAGGAATAACTCATTTCTTTAAATTGCATGTGCACAGTAATAGTCCTGGGTCTTTTTCCTGAATAAGGGTGCATAAACATGGAATCTATCTATTACTATTATATTTCAGTGTTTGTCCTTTATGAACGCCACGCTTCTGATCCCAGCACGACCAAACTCTGCATGGCTTCCTCATTTGGTCCGGGGATGGTCATAGGCTAGGTGGCGTTTCAAAATTTGGACCCGGCAGGGCAGGGCAGGGCAAGGTCGGGCCGGCCTATGACCAAGATCCCCCTCCCCTCCTACTTGCCCTAGGCGGTCGCCTGCCCCTAAATCTGGCCCTGCCCCGAGGTACCTTATTTAGTGCAGACAAATATGGAACCCATACAATATCACCCGTGCAACGCCGGGTACCTCTGCTAGTACTATTAATTTCAGTGTGTGTGTCTGTCCTTTATGCACGGACACGCCTATTATCCCAGTCCGACCAAACTTTGCATGGCTTCCTCATTTGGTCCCTGGATGGTCATAGGCTAGGTGGCGTTTCAAAAATTCGGACCCTCCGCGCAGTACCTTATTTAGTGTAGATTTGGTTCATCCACTACTTACAGACCCTCCAAGGGGTCTAAATTTTGAGGACTCATAAAAAAGTTACATGCAACTCCCTACTGGAATTTTCCAGTTGGTATTGGTATTAAAAGCTGCATATTTTAAACAATTTCTAGCCGGGTTTGCCAAAGAGGCATTAAAACAATATTAAACCCTCAAATACGGGACGTATGCAATATTCACCTGTGTAACGCCGGGTACCTCTGTTAGAGATTAATTGTATTACGAATCAATCATCCTTACCGGGAGAAAGACTCAGCAACTAAGCCTATATATCTACAGTATTTTCTCGTCACATTCACCACTGTGAGAACTTAACTTGGCAAGAATCTCTCCCCTAGATTCAAAATTGTAGCTCTTCCATGGGTCCCAGGAAGCTGCATCCTGTCTTTATCTGATTAAATTCGGACCCAATATTGCTGATAATAGAAACCCAGAGGATAGAAGGAAGTGAAATTTACAAAGGACAACAGAAACATTCCTTGGCAGGAAAGAAAGGAATACAAAAAGGGTACATGGAAGTGCATAGCAAATATATTCCCAATAATTGCACATTTGAAAAGGAAGCTGATGGGAGCCCATGACCATAAAAGTACCCATTTTAGGTGGGTCTGAAATCCCCCTATTTCAGGTCTTAACTGTCGAATTGGATAAAGCAGCAACTTTCCATGGCAGAGCCAGATGAGAAGAGACACGCTGAAAGGGCAAAGCAGTGAGGCATTCACAAGAAGTCAGCGCTCATGTTATTAAAAGCCCCCTGGTTCGAAATGGAAGATGAAGGAGACTGTAACAGGAAATGGGTACTTGGCTATATTCACATCAATGCTGCAAAGCCAAGAGACACCATATCTCTGTCATTACAGCAAGACAGTAGTTGTAAACATGGGAAAATAAACCCATTAACATTGGAAAGAGAGATATCTCTATTCAAGAGGATTTCAGGATACTTAAGAGCATGAATATTTGGAAAGGGATGAGGGAGATGGACAGATATCCATGGCATGGGAAAAATGGACATTGAAAAATGAGGGAATCGCTATCACAAGACCAGTCAAAGGTCTGATTCAGGCAGCCATTGACATGACATCATGAAATGCAGAACTTTGTCAAGAGACAATAATATCAATTTCATTCATTCCATTAAGGGTTACTCACCCACTCTTGGCTGACACTTGAGATGCTTTGGTGGTTCATTGTGTGACTTCAATAACAAGAGAGGAGAAGGCATGTTTAGCTTCTACATATCCCCATACACTGTACCACTTGACCTAATGACCAATATTCTCAAAGGGCAAACAAATGTAAGGGAAAACAGCAGAAAACAGCTGCTGCTGCCAGATCCAACAATTTTACGCACAGCGTAGGAATCAAACTAATATTGTAAAACAAGCAACCATCAAACATATTTTCAGGTCTGGTTTGGATAATGTAACCCTTTTTGTGCTGCATCAAGACTCATTTTCATTAAAAGGAATCAATTGATCTATGTACTTCTCAAGAATAGGGCAAATGTTGCCCATTAAGAGGATCAATTGGTACAGCAGAGATAGCACTTTCTAGCACAGTTACCTTATGATAGTGACCAAGCTCACGAAAGAGTTTTTTCAAGTGCATCCTATTCAATGTCTCGTTAATTTTATCTCCATTATATTCTGGTTCCATAAGCACTTTCAGTTCCCCTGCATCCATCTTATGCATGGGGCTCATGCAAAACACATCAAGAAGTACTTTGGAAAAGAAAATCCCTGTCACTCATGGTCATTCAGTAAATGAATTATACCCACACTTCAAACAGTAGAATGCAAGTTATCACATTTACGTGTAGAGGTATGAAAAAAAGCTGACTGATGTCAAGAGAGGCTTATCTGGATGCACCCTTGCACAGGATTTGAATGCCTAACTATCTTCCTAAGCAAAACCTATTCAATTTAACTGCACCTTGGATTTTGACACGAGAATGCTATTATCAGTGCATGTCAAAAGTGGGTATATTCAGGTCATGAGCTGTTTTACCAATTGATTTCCTGACTGTACCTGTGACAAGAGTGCTTATCCATTTGAGTGAGATCATTTTCTCTCACATTTCATGATGACTGCCACAACATGAGTGCATAAAAAACCTGTAGGGAAACAAACAGGAGTGGTTCAGTGAGTGCAAATGTACACATGAACAATAAATGTAACATATATGAGATGCCACAGCACAAAATGTGAGCACTCGTCAAGCTGGTCTGGAACTGAATATTTCCTTCCAAAACCAAGTCTTGGAAGGAAGTATAGATCTCCTTCAATGCACAATGAACCCATGATACAGACATCAGCCCTGAATGAACTCTGATGCATAATCAGTCTCAACAAAAGTGAAAGGGGTTCACAAACTGTTGTACAGGCACACTTATGAAGGGTAAAAAAAAATCCTTCAATTGGAAGAGGCATTAAGGACAACTGATCAATTTGGGTCTTTGTATATCAAAAGCGGTTTTACTGTTTTTGCTCAAAGTTGCATTTCTACTTGGACTCCTCCATCACAGGCAAGACATGCACTCATAGTGACAGCATAGGATAAATGAACTCAGTAGAAGTAAAAAACTCTTACCACAAGTACTTCAGAGCTTAGAGCCATGATCAAATTATGCAAAAGATGCTGGAGAAGTCCACAAAACCATAGTTCATATGGATATCAGGGATTTTGCTGGAGCTGGGAGATCCATTAAATGGAATATGCTTCATATTTCCAACCTATTGCTAAGACAGTAGGAATCAAATGAAGAAGTAGTAAGAAAAAATTCATGGAATTATTAACCACTTCACTCTCAGCCTGTAACATGTGACTGGACCACTGAGGTGAAACAAAACAGGGAAGAATTAAGTAGGCATGTAGGGTAATTCAACTTCAGTCATGAAGCCACATGTTTTAAGACTGGTAGTGAAGTGATTAATTCCTTTGAAAATAAAATTGTGAATAAACTGGACATTGAAAGGAGGCTGGGGAGTAAGGGCCAATGGAGGATGGTTGTTGCTATGACTTTAACAGAAAAAATTGCCATGAATGGAAAAGATCTGTCAATGATCACCACCTGGGAGAAGGAATTTCAACAAAGATATAGTAAACAAAACATACAAATTGCATTTATACTTCTCATAGCAGATCAACCTCCCTAATTACTTCCTTTGGCAAAAGAAGTTCAATAACCATACAAGTATCCTATGCACATGATACAGAAACTCAACAGATAATGAACACTATGAAATACAGGATGGGGAGGATGAGGAACAGGCAGCATATTATTTATAAACTTCACATTGAGAATTGCTTTGGCTTACAGGATAAATATGAGAATCTGATGGTGGGACACTGGATTTCCTTGCAAGCAGACAAAACTGGACTTGAGCACCTTCTTCACCACACATTCTGATCAAAAAATTTTTTTTCTGGATGCCTCCAAGCCACGATTGTATCTTGTCTAATGTCACCAAGGTATCAATTCGCAAGCAAGATGTCTTTTTGAACAAGAGACATGAAAATGCAGCCACATGCAGTCATGTTCTCTGCCATGCCTCAAATTATGTTAGTATTATTATAACTCTGATATTTCCTCATGATTGTGGAACAATAGATCACGCTGAGATCAGAGAAGGCTTTCCTGCAGGTAGATATCAAGGTCCTCCAAAGAGGCCTCGCTTTGTCAGTTGGACAGCTCCACAGAGACAAACCTCCTCAACCGCTCCAAGTACTGGGTGTAGATCTCTATGTCGTTATGACCTGCCCCCTGTTTCAGGACAGAGGAATAATGAAGTTAATATCTGAAAAATTTAATAGGAAACAAAAAGGGCTGTAGTAACTGATATACAGGGTATTCATATTTAAATGCATCTTAGGAAATATTTTGCCACCTGTATATGCAGCTCTGCTCAAGCTAAAAGACTTACCAGGTTGTATATCTGCAGAAAACATCCCAGTGATTGTTTTTATCCTTAACCTTTTGAGGTCCACGCCCGAGTTACCTCGTGTTGGCCTCATGATGAAGGATAGACAAAACTTGGACGACAGTGCAGACACACTCAAAATACTAGGACCCCCAAAGGGTTAAAGATATGCAACCCAGAGACTTATAAAGCATTTGCTGAACTCCACAAGCAGGTGGAAAATGTTTCCCTATGTCGCATTTAAATACAAACATTCTGTATGTACCCAAATGGAATGGCATGTGATTACTTAAAAATAATGGCATCATACAATATGCATTTTATACTAAGGTACTGATGCAACCTGCTTCATTGTAAATAGCATGAAAAAATGTGTTTTTGCAAATAGGTAATGTGTACACAAAATATCTAACTAAATTAATGCATGCCATTTCAAAATCATGTTAAGCTTCATTTTGTAGATTATTTACACTGAAAGCTTTGACCAAAAGAAACTAATATGGGGGGTTCTGATTGCATAGCAATGCCTGAAGAGAGGCAAGGGTTCCAAAGATTCCTTAATCAAGTCTTCAGTTTCTTCATGATGCCCAAAGGACTCACCTCCACCCAGAGTGGATCAACTGGCTTCTGGCACTTCTCATGGATAGCTATCCCATGTGAGAAATCAATCACTTCATCCTCAGTCCCATGAATCACTAAGACAGGTGCAGTGATTTTCGGTACCTTGTCTATGCTGAGGGGTCAGAAGACGAGAGAAACAGAGAATGATTAATAAATGAGATTGGGATTGAAAAATATGAACAAGAATAAAAAACATGAACAGAACTCACACTGTGAAGCATACTAACCTTAGAGTTGCAATTGAAAATATGACTAAAAATGAAATTTGTTTCTCCAAATGTAATTAAAGGATACCTTTTCAAGCACAATTTGTCATGATATCGCAAAATTAGAGGCTCCAAACTGGAACAAAGGATCGGTAAATAATGATATGGAATGCTTCACTGTTGGTCTTTGAAACTACTGGGTCACTCTGAGCGTATATTCATGTACAAACACTGACTCATGAACATGTAGATTTTCTGATTGAGTGCAAGTTACTTAAAAGAAACTGGTAAAACTTCGGCAGTACATATTGATTAAGTAGGTAGGTTAAGTGGCTCTTGAGCCACTTACCCTACCTCAATTAAGAAGAGCACTCAAAAAGTTTCAGGCTCAAGACACATCCAGTTGTAATGCACAATTCTTACCTTCTTCATAGATACAGATGTCTTTCATTGTGGCTGGAAAAATGCTAACTTACTTGTCAAGGATGAAAAGCTTTTATGAAAATTTTTCCATGTGCTACCTAAGGGTCTGCTGAAGGGGTATTTAAATTGAGATGAATGCTATGATGAATTATCTAGCTTTGAAGGAGTCAATCCACTAGCAGATCATTTAAAGGAGGATCAGTAGGACAGTGTCCTCTCAGCTGATGTCCTGCATGTACTGTCCAAGTTATACCAGTTTCTGCAAAGTAAGTTGCATCCAATCAGAAAGTAAATGTTAGTGAGTAATTGTTTGACCATAGAGCAAATATTGACTTGGAGAGACCCAATAGTTTCAAAGCCAGACGGTGAAGTATTCCATATCATAACTCATATCATGACAAAGATGAAGGTTTTTATACTTTTATAGATGAACTTTCAGTTGAATAATACTTATACAGCAGCCTAGGAAATCAGAAAGCCAAATTTTGGCCTTTAGACAGTCCTGTCATTAAACCTATGGTTTTTCAGCATGCATTTATGATAGATCATATTGCATTGTGGATACTTAGGGGACATGAGATGAGCATGGGGACACACAGATGGATTTCATGCATTCAAGAGGATTGTTACAGTTTGCCATTTGCCAGAAGCAACATTAGTACAAACAGGTGATTCACTTATATTCTGATAGTAAAATCTCTAAAGAAATCACCTTTTGAAACCAACATTGAAAGATTAGGAGGCACCATCCTGAACTGGCTGTTTCCCATAAATTCACCAATACCTTAAAGTAAAAAAGATAGCTTGGAATGGTCACTCTATAGAAGGGTACCTTGGGAAGGGGTCGAAGAACCAGGTCCTGGTAGTCTTGGGGAATGCTACCCTCATCCCTGACATAAGTGGTGAATGGAGGATCACAGCTCGCACTTGATGTCTAGATGCCAAGTCCACTGTAGGCACTGTCCCTATACTTTGGCCATACAGAATCACTGTTTCCTGAGGCACCTGATATTTTGTCAGGAGGACGTTCCAGGCTGCATCAATATCTGAATATAAATTCTTCTCAGATGGCTTCCCAGAACTTCTTCCATAACCAGAGTAGTCATAACTGAAGATGTTACAGTTGATGCGACTTCCAAGGCCAATGTAAAAGCTGCTCATCTGCCCTAGATCAACTGCATTTCCATGAGAGAATAGAATGGTATATTTGGCATTTGGAGCACAGCGGACAAACATGCAAGCAATCTTGTTCCCTCGGGAGTTTGTTGTGAAAGACACGTCCAAAAGCTCCTTCTCTCTTTCTCCATATTGCCACTCAGCCCTGTCATTGAACTGGACCTTGTAGGTTACGTTACCACCAGACGTCACAGCCACGTAATGGTAAGTAGGTTCAGGTGGAAGGAAAGCCAGCTTGGCAGCTATGGATCCAGGACATGGTGGGCAGCAAAAGAGGCAACATAGTTCACTCAGTGATATTCCATTCATGCTGGCATCGGGATGCGGAGCCTGAACTTGAATCTGCTGTTGAGAAGCCAGCTTGCTTGGGTTGAAGGCCCAGACTTTGGACTTGTAATTTATGTCTTGGGAGAATGAACCTCAAATAAGGATAACAGTTGACAAATCATTCCCTCTCTCTTTCACTCTCTCATAAAATAGTTTTAGGCCTAACCAATCCTAACCTTAGGCAATCAAAAGCCTAATGTGACAATGTCCTCATACTTGGGATGATCATATCCTGCAAAAACAGCTGGGTTTCATCTCAGTTGCTTTAGTCTCCCTGAAAGCACTATTTTTAGGATATACAATTCTGACAATTGGAATTACATGTCAAATGACTTCTTTGTATCACATCTAAATCAAAATTAACAACGCCACATTTCGCACAGTTCCTCTTTCCTGAAAATATTTGAACAGACCTTCCTTAATTCAGATTAGGTAGCTTTACTCCATTATGAGTCATGGATGAAGTACAAAGATCTACAATTTATACTTCTTCAGAGGCTGTCACCCCATAGGCCTATGCAACTGCTTAGGTTGGTAAATTAATCAAGTCTTTCGGAAAGTATTCTTTCATAGGCTTCCTATGTACTTGGATAGTCAAACCTTTTGACATACCTGATTCAAATTAAATTTTCACTCAGATCAGACACAATATGGTCTTATCGTCAGGCCTACAGGAGATTTAAAAAAAAGTCATGGAATTCACACAATACTACCAACAGCTTATCGCAAGCTATGGGTAGCCTATTAACCTCACGTTAATTTTCATCCTTGTCTTTCAAGGCTAGCCCAGCTCAATTTCATGAATCTCCCAACGCTAGACTCAGCCTAAGAATCTGATGGCTTATGTATCTGACTACGAAGGTTGACGATGTGAAAAAAAAACTATTCTAAAGATACGCTAGGTAGTCGAAATGAACAAAGAGAATAACGAAAAGACCAGCCTGAGTACAAAGCAAACTATGGCACACAGGACGCGGACATTTCCCTTCTCCGCAATTCAGTCAGGGTTGCTAGAATTTCAGGAATGTTCCGGATAGCATCACTAGCTTGAACAGTGCAACGGAGAATTTAACCATCATAGTCCCTGATTTCTGAAAGTCCTGATCCTGAGAAGATATTTTTTTGCTCAATTTTTCTGGAATTACGATTTTTCAATGAGGTTGATGTCCTGATATAAGGATCCGTGTTTCAGTCGGGAAAAAGTGACGCCAGGATGGCCAAAGGCCGTTTCTTGGCATTTTATTGCCTGCGACTTGTGCGATTTAGTGATACATGCGTTGTGCTTTCCTAAACGCCTCCATTTACGTTCAAACGCTAAGGAAAATGCGTGGGTATGTTTACCCTCATGCATTCGCAGGTAAAGAGGAAATGGCAGGCTTACTTTTCGAAATGAGTTTTATGGACTCCGAACGGTCGACACGGTCATTTTTTCCTTCGTTCATGCATTGTTTCCCCCTGAGAACATGCGCGTGAACCCGTTTGGACTCGAGGACTTTCCCTCCTAACGCAAATGAGCATGCATGCCAAAGCATGGATTGACGCGTGTGTACGCATGACATGCAGGAAACGCCGAGGGTGAAAGAGTCCTTCGACTTTTATTAAGGAGCACGGGGGAATCAGCGGGAGATCCAATCGATTTTCGTCAAGATGTTGCTGACCTTCCACGGGTTCTGATGAAAAAAAGGGAAAAACGACAAGACCCTCCCACCCCCATTGCATATTCCGACTGCCTACGCACCGCGTGCTACACATTAAGTACGCTCTTTATCCCCTACATATGTGAGGGTTAAAGCGATGAAAGCTTCCCCCGGGGGGCATACGGCTCCGTGACTCTCACGATCAAGGAGATCACACCCGCCTTCAAGATTCTGCGCCTCGAAAGTAGGATAAGGTTATGGAGTAGGTGGCTTCAAATTGTCCATGATCAATGGGATGCTTCATATCCTCCCCCACTTCCCTACACCAGCTATTAGAATAGCTGTAGGTATATTATGCATTATTCAAATATGAATTCCTTTTTAGATACGGAGTCACGAGGCCGTTTGACTCAAACTCTTCCTATCATGCAGCGTTTTTCTCTCGATTCAAACTTTTTTCACTTGACTGACAGCATTATTTTTGTCTGGGTGTCCGAGCCTAGTGGAAAATGTCTGACTTGAATGAAAAGCTCTGTAATGTCCCCCCAAAAAAGAGCCCTCTCTCCCGAGCTTCTTGAGTGGATATTGTCCTCTCTTTCCTCATTCAGCGCTCGAAATTCCGTCCACAGATCACGACGAATTCTGTATCGTCGGAAATGTTCTCTTTGTTTCCTTTCATTCAGTATACAGAACGTGACGAATCTAGCAAGAGTTACGATAAGACGATCGAGGGAAAACGGACAGGTTCGTCCCGTCCGCTGCCTCTCTGCCGCTGTTTTTTTTTATATAAATATTTTTGGAATGGGGTATTACGATGATATTCGAAAGATGGGTGCTCGAATTATTCTTCGAGGCGTGGAAGAAACATGTTCAACTTTTACGGCAAATTTAAAATCATGTATGCTCAATCGATTAAGAGCATAATTTCCTTATTTTCTTCGCAAGCCAGCTAGAGCAAGATAGGTCCTTAAGCTCTCGAAATCAACCGTATCAGCCCTAGAAGCGTCAAGAAGCCTCCCTGAAAGCGCCCAAGATAATACGAGTCGCTATTCAGGTTTAGCGTCTTATCTCCGACGAGGCCAAAGCAGTGCCCGCTGGCTCTGCGCGCCAAGTCGCTCGCGGAGGCTTTCTCCCCTGCACCGCGTGGCCATCTCCAGCATCTCCAGCGCGCGTGAGGGCTCATTATAGCGTCTGCAATCTTGATTAAAATACTCCAGTCGAGAGCCTTCAACAGATGAAGGAAGCGTGCAGAGGAGGATCTAATATTCCTGTCCTAATTCCGTTCGTTGAAGTTTCATCAGCCTTTTTATTTTTAATGAATTCTCGATCGATCTGCAGGGAACCCTACGGTGTCCAACTGATGAAGAAATAGGGGTAATTTCGGAGGAGGAGCAGGAAAGGTGTTTCAATCCGTCGACGGAACGCATGTGGCAACGGCGCAATACCCGACGGAATCGGAATCCGGGCTCACACCGCGTTCGATAACTCGCGTGCCCTTTCCGCTCGAGCTGACAGCCTCTCATTTTAACAGTACTTACTTCCTCCGCAATATCTCGACCATCATTCGTTCGGGGCGGTACGCTCTCGAGACAATGAAAGGTATAGAAACAACGAACTCTAGGAGGGGGCGTAGAATACGGTGACCCTGAATGGAGGCGAAAGGCCCTCTCGTTTCGTCTCGCAACCCGTTCCGAAACCGGTTCCAATTTCCTTCTTTAACCCTAAGTATTTCAAGCGTGTTCCGAGGCGATTCTAAAACAGATTTATCGCAACATGAAAAATGCGCACCGTTGTCCAATGAATATTGGAGATTGGAATGAGAAGATCAGGGGGGGGGAGTGATCGTTGCATGAAATGCGTGCCTGCTCATGCCGCGTCATTCACAGACGCTGCAGGTTCAAATATCGGATGGGCACATCATTTCATGCTAGAGAACGCTGACGCAGATTCTAACGTATAAGCAGCGAATGGTACTTGCGCAATGTTATCACTCGAATGGTTTCAACGCAGAGGTGACGACATATAATCGGTCGATCGGATTTTAATCGAGCTTCTGCTGACTGTGGCGAATGAAAGGTAATGTACCGTTTCAAATTCGCTTCGACCGGTCGTTGCCGTTCCGCATTCGGGTACGTCCGAGTGGAAGGATCTATGGCTCTGGAAACGAGCGTGTTGGGAAAGGACACGTTATCTGCTTACCTATGGGAGGCTCTTAGGCGAAAGAGGGAGAAGAGACACTCGTGGGTTGTGCGCTTGAGTGGAGAAGGAGCAGGGAATCCCCCTTCCTTCGCTTTCTCCTCTTTTTTTTCTTCATTCTTTTTGCCTTTCCTTCCTGTCGTCTTTTGACCGACGCTCGCCCTCATTACTCATCGCGATCCCGTAACTGCATCTTGTATTAGTGCCACCATCCCTTGTCCGTGTATTCCGCCACCTTCAAAGCTTGGGAAATCCATGGTGTTAGGAGACCACACTTTCCTCATGGTTTCATCGACTAACGACTTCAAAACGAAGTCTCGTCATTAGAGGAAAGGGGGGGAGGGGGGGGGAGGGGGACAAGCACTAACGTGGATCGGAGCGGAGCGGTTTTTTTCCGCTGGAATTATACCTCGCTGTTTTGAATGGGACCTTGTACACCGAAGCAGACCCGATCAAGGATTTTTTCCTGCGCGGTCGAGACATTTCCTTCATGACAGGGAAATGAAAGCCGTCTTCCATGAAAGGACAAATTCGTATGAAGTAGCGTATTGGGGATGAAGTAGCGTAGTGGGGACCCACTCCTCCCCAGTGTAAAGGTGAAATCCGCTCTGAATTTGAAAGGATCGTCGCGGATCCGCATTTGTGTGCGTACCCCGGAAAATCTCGCGCTCGCACGAGTTCAGCCACGATTACGACGAGATTATGCCGATTCAAATCTTCGATGAACGGCGCCTATAAGCACCCGGGGAACGGAAAGTCGTGTTCTGGAATGAAGAGCATGACCCGAATTCCCCTTCCTGCATTTCGGTGTGTTTCTACTTGATGGTGTGCTTGCCGTCTGGCTGCCCAAGGAGACAAGGCCCGAAAGAAATAAGATGGACTTTCTACATCGTTGCCCCCGTCGCGTCCCGTCTCCATTCGAGCTCGCCCGATTCCTCGCACGTATTGGGACCGAGCAGGACGGCAGTGGCCGCTCGGAATTAACTGGATATGGTACAGAATAACGGTATCCTTTTCCATCTCGCGAGATCCTCGCTTCCTTTTCCTTCATCCGGAAAGTATTGTCTTTGTCCTTGCGCTTCCCTCTTTGAAAGGAAGACGCCACATTTATTTGCCGAAGAGTGAGCCTCCCAAAAACGATTGCCTTTTATTTCGGATCAAGAAAATTTCATTTGTGGCTCTAGAGGCTTAGCTCGTAGCTAAGCTACCGTGGCGAAGATAAAGAAAACTAGAGAAAAACCCAATATATCTCTGAGCTCCTCGTTAAAGAGGGAAGAGG